TCAATGCCAGGGAGCTGAGGAGAGCTGGGGCCACAGGTGTTAGAGTAGGCCTAGTGCTTGCAGACTGGCTATTGTGTCAGATTTAGATGAAAAAAACAAAGGAAGGTGGAGGAAGTACAGAACATATGTTAAAGTGACACATTCATTCACATGAAGCATGTCAAGCACACACATCCCTCATGGAACCTTGGGAGGCAGGCTTTACTCTTATTTTATAAACTAGAATTTAGAAGCTCAGGCTCAAAGAGAGCACAGGTGATGCTGCCATCATCACAGTGCTTGATTCAAATCCTATCAGAGGCATGGAATTGGTATGAAATAAGACATGGGGACCAAGGGAACAGGACAGAGGACCTAGAAATAGATCCTGCCACCTATAACCAGCTGATTCCCAGTAAAGTGCCAGGAATATAAACCGAAAGAGGACAGCTTGCTCAACAAACAGTGCTGAGAAAACAAGACATCTTCATGCAGGAAATGAAACCTACACTCCCCATTATTCTTCATTCTGTATTAAAAAAAATCAACCAAAATGAATCAAAGGCTTAAAACTCCGAAACTTCTAGAAGAAAACATATCAGAAATATTGGCACAGGCAATGAAATGAGATTACATCAAATTAGAAAGCTTCTATACAGAAGAAGGAAAAAAAATGAAGAGACAACCCACACAAAAGAAAATCTTTGCTAATTATCCATTTGACAGGGGATCAATATCCAGAATATATAAAGAACTCAAAAGAACAAATAATTTCATCAAAAATTGTCAAATGATCTGAAAAGATACTACTCAAAAGAAATACTACAAATGACTAATAAATATATAAAAATTGCTCAAATAGCTTTAGCCTTCAGGGAAAAGCAAATTAAATTTTATAACTCAGCCATACTACTCTGGTACATATATATCTGGAGAAGCTTAAGTCAATACACATATCCACAAACCTGTGCTTGTTTTTCCATATCTTACAATAATTAAGATATGGAATTTACCTAGGTACCCATTAACAGATAAACTATATAAGGAAAACACACATATGTGTACACACACATATACATGCACACACACACATTCTTGGATACAGGAGTATTATTTAGGTCAATGATGAATGAAATCATGTTATTTGCAGGAAAATGGTTACAATTGGAGACCGTGGTAAGAAAAATCAGGCAGATACAGACAACTATCATATCTTCTCTCATATGAAAACTAGAAAAAAAAATAAGAAAGCAGACAGCTGCTAGAGAAGGGTCCTGTGTGACACAGTGGTGTTAGGACCCTGGAGCCAGCAAGGGGTAAGGCTGGGATGTGACTCAAACTCCGAGCTTTCGGCCTCCAAGTCTTCTCTTTTTTTGTTGCTTCTTGGAGGATTAAGGATGCACACAGCTGATTAGTAAGAGAACAGGCTTTCGTGTTTTACAATGATAAGGTTACAGGAAGTAGAGAGTTTGCAGCACCTGCATCAGCACCTATTAGCTCCTGCAGTGCCCACCAGGAACTGATATTAGGAACTGTCACTCAGCAGAGTAGACAGAGAAAGACTCAAGACCTCATCCACCCAAGGAAGAGCATCCTAGCACATGCCTGGAAAAAGAGCCAAAATGCAAACGAGCATTTGTCCTGGTCGGTTTTTATTGTCAACTGGACACAAAACAGTCACCTAGAAAGAGAACACTTCAGCTGAGGAATTGCCCAGATCAAGTTGGCCTGTGGCCATGTCTGTGGGTGTTTCTCTTGATGACTGATGTGGGTGGGTTTATGCCCCTGTAGGAGGCACCATGCCTAGGCAGGTGAGAGAGCTGGGCATGGACCAGCCAGCAGCATAGGTCCATGTTTATTAATTCCAGCTTCCTTGCTGGAGTTCCTGCCCTGACTTCTCTCAAAGGTGGGTTATCAAAGTGTAGGATGAAGTAAACACCTTCCTCTTCTAAGCAGTTTTTGGAGTTTATCACAGCAACATGTTGAAACCAGGGCAACAACTTAGCATTCATTCTTCCTACTATATTATAAACATACACTTGGGTGAAGTGACTTTCAAATAAACTGTAATCATATGTCCCTTTGAGCTGGCAGTTACAGACTCACAGCACCCTCTTCAGATGCGGCCTGTGAAGGGAAGAGCTCCAAGCACATAGACTTATAGAGGACACAAAGAATAGTCTCCACTCTCACTCACATCTGCCAAGAGGGTCTTTCATAACTGCTATGGACCAATACCTCTTTCCTAGTGGAAGTGCTTTATGGTGTGTGTGTGTGTCTGTGTGTGTGTTTGTGTGTGTGTGTCTGTGTGTATTTATGTGCACATTTGTGTACTGGGGGAGTGCATAGTAGTTGTGGTGACGTCAGATTATTGTCCTATATATTTGTCCTATTATTTGTCATATATATATATATACATGTACATATATATTAATACATACTGACTAATATGTATTAATTAGTTATTATATTAATTGGGAAAGAGTCAAACAAATGTTAGTTGACAAGGTGGATAGACTGTGGTATTTATATGTGCTGTTCATACAATACTTTCAGTTTTCCTTCCAGACATACCGCAACCATCACCTCCTTGCTCTCTTAGCTCTGGTCAGATGGATTGCTCTGGGAAATACGAGGACTAAAGTGCCTGGTATTCCTGGTAGGCAGAAGCTCTTGGAGCTTGTACACACTTAGCCGCACTTTCTTTCTTTGTACTTAGCAAGGTGGCTGCTGTCCTTGCTTGGGTCCCACACTGATGATAAAGCAGGGAAGCCACTGGTAAAGAATACCAAGATACAAGCATTCATTAACTGAGACTTGGCGCATGCTTGTCACTGCAGGGCACCAACCTAACCTACCTGGTTCAAGGATGATCTTAATTATTTACAGAATCACTTTTTATTTGATGGGATTGTTTTCCCACCTCTGGTGGCAAGCATATCACTGGGGAGCAGTAGCTGTAACTGACTGTGGTGACAAGAACCCAGATGTGATCTCTGAGGGCGACCAGGAAGAAATCATGGTGAAGTTTGTAGAAGGATGTACCTAGGGGTGCCTTCTCTTACGGGTTCTCTCCAGGCTATTTTCAGTAGTACTCATGTTGGTATCTGGCTAGGGCTCTGAGCCACACTAAAGCCCCCACTTCAGCACAGCTGTGTCCAATGATTAATAATTTCTGTTCAACCTCTATGTTAGTGCCTTGCTCTATCTGTTAGTTTCATGGATCCTTGCCATAAGGTACAGTCTTCTTCTCCTGGTCACCTTGAGGAGCCTACAATAATAAAAAGACTCTCATCTACAAGTCCTGTAAAAATGTTAAACAAGGCTTGTCACCCTTGGGTGAAATATGTCACACATGCCATGGGTAGCCTCAGTTCAGGAACACCTATTTTTATTTCTCACTGACCTGTGTCTACTCCCCAGCTTTTGCTTCCCAAGGCTCAGAGTGTATACTATATACTCCTCTTTCCATGTTTATCCCATGAAGCTGCTCCAAAACCACTCTTTAATCCAGCCCGCAGAGACCCGTGTCTCCCCTAAGTCACTCCTGTGTCAACTGATCCACAGAGAGCAAATTGTTAAAAGTTGGCCTCTGACACCCACAGGTTCTTCAGGTGGCTCAAAAGTATGTCTTTAAAACTTGTGCCTGCACTTCATATTTACAGACATTTAAAATGACTAAAGAGTATGGTATAAGGACTATTGGTAGAGTATTTATCTTGCATTATGGGATATAAATAGTCAAGAAACATAAAGTATACAGGAGATTGTGTGGTGTTGTGAAATAGTCTTTTTGTACACTGTGAAGATGTGTTGCTGTATTTGGTTTAATAAAGAGACAATGACCAATATCTAGGCAGGAAGAGGTCAGTGAGACTCACAGAGAGGTAAAAAGAGAGCACGGGAATGAAGAAGGGCGGAGTCTCCAGGATGTGGAGAGAAAAAGCAAGATGAGCTTGTCATGCTGATAAAAGGTACTGCCATGTGGTAGAATATTGATAAGAAATATGGGTTAATTTAAGATGTAAGAGCTAGTTAATAATATGTCTAAGCTATCAGCCAAGCATTTATAATTAATAATAAGTCTGTATGTCATTTATTGGTGAGTGGATGGTCCTGATGAAAAACATCACCTATTGTGTGGAGTTATATGCAGAAACAATGTCATCTCAACTGGGTTTGAGCAAGGCTTTGGTGTCCATGTGAGATGTGGGAACCAATTTCTTGAAACTACTATGGGATGGTTACATTAAGAGCACCTCTCTCTTCACCACTGAGTGGCGACTGGTTAATTACAATCTTGGAGGCATTCACAGATTCAATCAACACAAGGTTGGGTCTTATCTCAGAGTGCTATCTGCCTACTTGGGAGCATCCTCCTTCCCCTATAGCTGCCTTCAGTGGGCTTCAAAGAATCCCTAGTACTCAAGGAAACAGAAACAGACTAGAAGAAATGGACCTCTCCACGAGTTCCATTGGCTAAGGGCCTCTGTCCTAAGAGGTAAGGGATAGGGCTGAGGCTAGGGTCAGTACTGAAGGCTGAGCATACCTCAAGAACGGCCCCTATGACTGCATGGCCTGTGGACAATTTGCTTCTCATAGCCCTGGGTTAGTAGATGCCAGGGGTTTGGACACTTGAGTGACAATGAGATCCTTGGTTTCTAAGCAACCTTGAGAAAATTGACAATTTCGATTAGAGATTCTACATTTAAACCTTCATATATGCAGCCACTGTGTGGAACCAGTTAATATACCAGAATAATAAATACCCTTAGTAACTCAGAGGCATTCATGAACTTGTCTAGGTTGAGCTAAAACAAAAATCCATTCTCAAGCCTAGTGTTCCACTGTGACTTAGAGCTAGTGTCTGGATTAATGCTTACTTTCCTAAGTACTATTTTGTTAGTAAAGAACTAGCAGCTTTTATTCTGGCCAGCTTTCATGTTATCTTTTCTTTTTTCTCTAACAATATCTCCCATGGACAGCACACAGAGTTGAAAGAGAGCTCCATTTATGATTACCTTGCCAACAGGCGCCGACAGTAAGTTGCATGGCTATATGAGATGGATGAATGGGCCAGTCATTGGTCACCAGGTATGGCTCATATGTTGCTCCATCCATGTATAGGGTGACCACAGGAAACTCCACATTGATGACATAGTAATGCCACTCTTTGTCACAAATCTAATGGGGAGAAAGAACACAAAGAGAGAAGTAAAACTTAAAATTGGATCTACAATGTGACGTCAAACAGCCTTTTAAAATCTTATTCTGAAAGTAGAGGAAGATGTTTTGGGGTCAGAAATTATTACCCCAGAGACTTAAAGAGCATAATTTTGGCATATATCACACACTGAGGTTATCAAGCTCTTTATCAAACACAATGAAAAGAAGAATTACAAACGGACCCAGTCATTTGCTGAGTACAGCCACCCTTTAGAGTTCGTATAATCAGCTCCAGGAACCAATCTGACTTTAAAATCTGCAGATGTTGAAGCTTTTTTTTTTTGTATAAAATGATGTTGCATTTGCAGGAAACATATGCATATCCTCCTGTGTATGTTAAATAAACTTCAGATAACTTAAAATTCCCAATGTGAGTAAATTCTTTAAGTAATTGTTCAGCTGTATTGATTAGAGACTAACAACAAGAAAAGGAAAAGCCTACTTATATTCAATATGAGAGCCATTCCTCAGTTGGGTGGATTCATGGATGCAGAACCTTTAGGCACAGAGGGCAGACAGACTGCATTTGACAGCGGGCAGAAAGAACATCTTGTTCACATAATTGCCACCATTTTTGATGGACAGGTAGGAGTGTCTTCAATGGACAAGGTGCAGGTGAATACATTTTTCTAAGTTCTGGGATAGATGGAGCTGTACAAAGAATAGTACTGCAATCAGAGTAAAGCTAGAGATTGAGATAAACAAGGAGAGAAGAAAGGACAGGGAAAGAAGAGAACAATAGAGTGGTTCGAATTCAGTTAGAGAAGGAGGAAGAAGCAGGAACCCCGAGGAATCAGAGCCCCTATTCCCACTGCTTAGGGCTCATGAGAGAACCTAGTATAACCTGGCCCTTCTAATTCAGGGAAAAGATTCCAAGGGAAACAGACTTAGCAGGAGTCTGCCTTCCTTCACCTTGGGGCACCCGGGGAAGCAGAGAAGAGCCACAGATGAAACCTTTTACCCGCACTGAAGATTAGTTACTCCTAACTATGTCTTCACAGCCTGCCACACTCAGGGTCCTGTTCTTTCTCAGGGCACTTGTAGAATGTGGGGAGAGGGTGGTGTGACTGTTGTTTCTGACCGTCATCCTCTCTGGGTTGAGAAACCCATAGAGAATCAGTGAACCACACCTCTGGCGTGTCTGTGAGGACCTTTCCAGGGATGATTGCCTCCATATGGCTCTGACCTAATGAATTAATTAATCCCTTAATGGATTCATTATATGGCTATATTACTAGGAGGTGGCAAAAACTAGGTATGTGGGGCCTGGTTGGGGGAAGAGGTTACTAGGAAAGTGTCCTTGAGACTGTATCCCACTCTACACATTGCTTGTGTTTCTTGACTACCAAGGATGGCTCTGCTCTGCCTTTCTTTCCCTCTTTGTTATGATGGACTGACATCTCTGAAACAATGAGCAAAAGTAGTCCTCTCCCTTCCTCTTAGGTAGTTGGTTATAGTGATATAAAAGTAACTGATACAGGAGGAGCACAGACTCACACTGTACAATTTATAACAAAAATGTGGGAAGGAAGGCAGGAGACAGAAAAGGCAGCCAGACTGGAGAATCGTGGTCCCCTCCCTCTGTGCAAGCCTGGGCTCGCCTTTGTGTTCAGTCTCCTCTGCACCCCGTGGAATCCTCTGAAGTGTCTCTCATCTGTATCATCTTCTCTCCATCACCCCTGCCACAGATGGCAGGAGAGGCTGGTGAGTTCTGCATGAAGGTGACCCCAAGGTGAGGGCATCAAAGCCCTCCCTCCATCCCGCACTGGATTAAATGTGCTGTTTCTCATGAATAGATAACACAACAGGGATGCTAAATGATCTTTTCCCTTTCATTTTGGAAGAAGAATTTTTTCCTTAATGTTCTTTTTATATTGTCCCTTCTAATATCTCAGAAAATTACTCCTTTTGAAGCCTATTAGTCTGATAAAGGCTGATGAATATTTTAGGGACTGTAGTAGGAAGTTCAAACAGGAAGGGTCCATGAGGGTCACTCCAATGTCTTGTTGAATTCAGTGAGAGTCCCTGACTCAGTTTACCCTCTCCACCTTATTGATCAGAACGTATTTGAATACAGAGATATTGGGGTGAGCCTGTGACTAGAGGGGGTAACTCTGGGTTATAGTGGTGGAACACAGCAGGAACTCTGAGTTTAGGGTTGATGGAAGGGGAATGTCTGAATGAAGCTCCCAACCTAAGGGATCTCAGTGCATCCCATGTGTGGAGTTGGAGTCAAGGATAGGCAGGCAGCAGAAGAGACCTATAAAATGGTTCACAACCTGGAGGTATTTCAAGAGGTATCTGGAAGCTCTGACTAGGTCCAGGGTGGCAGCGAAGTATTCCTGCACACATTTTCTCTTCCGTGGAAAGTAAGCCAACAGGGATAGCTCTGTCCTGGGTCCCATCACTACCCTCACGACAGTCATCCTCTCTGTGCATATGCAGGCTGATCCCATGTGCCTCAGTCAATCATATCACACCCTGTGACTGCTGAAGATGAAGTGAAATGGTCCTCTGGCCCGGTTTCTCAACATTCAGCCTTTTCATAAGACAACAGAAAACATTTCTAGGAAAAGTAAGAACCATTTCACATCTAAGAGCATCAGAGCCCTTCTTGGTATGATAGTTTTTCCTAGAGACTTTTCCCATAGTTTTGTTGCCTTGTGCTCCGTTGATAGGCTGCTTCCATGATGCCTCTCATAATATAGGGGATAATACAGAGGGCCTGCGTCCTGAGCTAAGTCTCATGGTAGAGGTGAAGAGGCTTTCCAGCCCTCCTTAGCATATCCAGAGCTCTAAGCAGTCTTCAAGAATATACCTGTAATACATTTTTAACCTTGGAGATGGGGCATACATTTCTATTTGTGTAAACATCCCAAGAAACAACAGCCATGAAAGCCCTGTTTGGATCACATGGTCTGTTGATTTGAAAGTTTGCATGTATCAGTTAATGTTGGCATTGAAAACTCCATTGTAAGTGGCCATGTGACGTGGCTATGGATATCCCATAATATACATAACTATTCTCTCACTATTGGATTAATTTTATAACAGTGATTACAGATGATGCTATAATCAATTTCTTGGGCATAAATATTTGTCTGCATTTCTGAACATATCCTTAGGAAGGATATTAAATGGCTCAAATATCATACTTATTTTAAGGTTCTTGATACATCATACATACAGGATTTTTTTCCAGATAAAGATTATAACTCTTTATTCTTTTACCCAGAAATTGTGAGAAGGTTCCTGTGTTGCACTGTTGTCACATTAAGTACAAAAAAAAAAGAAGGAAAAAGAGGCAAGATACCAGAAGTTTATGGAGGAACACATCTTGTCTCATTTCTGTAACAAATCACACAAGAGGTACGGGTCATGCGTTCCCAAATCTAAACAGAGGCTACCACAGATGTGAGGAGCAAAGAGATGAGCAGAGCTGCACACATGAGCTCTTAATTGGGCATCCACACAGTCTTCTAGTTCACACTAAGCTTACGGCTACAGACCTGTCCCGATGAGCTATGTCAGCAGCTGAAGGAAATGCCTAATTAGAGTTTCATAAATGTGGATCTATGATCAGGAAGAGACCCACATTGACCCATGGCTAGAGCGTCAGGGACAAATTGTAATTGAAAAATGATCGAGCCAGGAGGCAGCAAAGTAGAAGTCTTGCTACATAGGTCAACCAAGACAGGGAAAGTAGGCAAAGTGACCTTTCCTTGGGGGAGAGACAAACTTTAGTTCTTAGCTGCCTGTGAATCACTGGCAACCCTAACTAGCTTGACACCCATCCCATGGTCCCCCTGAGTGGATGCCCAAGGCATGACCTAGACAAAGCCACCTCCTTCTCAGATGGGATTATGGTAGGTGGCCGTGATTGCTCTTTAGGAGGTGAGTAAAAAGGTGACCAGAGATTCAGAGACACATGCCAATGGAGGGCATGATTCTGGCAGTTTCTCTTCACAGCTGCTGATGGCCTGATTCAAATACCACATCCAGGTTGGAAGTTCTGACTTAGTTTCCCCTTTAAGCTGGGTGTTTTTCAACGCAGCTATTCAGCATGTGACACACTGATCTGCCAAGCACCGTGTCAATTCCCGTATCTATTGAGATTGAGAGAGACAAGCAGAGCTCGTGAGATAGATTCTCTGCCTTCCTGAGTTTTAGTCGAATGGGGAGGGAGGCAGGGAGGGGAGGGAGAGGAGTGAGGGACTGCATACAAAAGTATTCTAATGGAATGGGGATTTAGATGAATATTGTAACTCAGGGGCAGAGCACTTGGAGGCTCCAGAGAATGGAGAGATCTTTCCAGCTGGGAGAAAGTGGAACTGAGGGTGAGTGCTGCAGACTGTGGAGGTTTCACTGGGCATAGAAGGTAGAATAAATCTCAAGCAAATGAAGCAGAAACCTCTTAGTTCTTTAATCGGTCATTTTCCCCACTGTTGGAGGCACCGGTTTGGCAGCATATGGCGTCTAATTCTTTCAGTCATTTCTTTCTGTAGAGACGTGCAAAAAGCATAGTGTGTTTTGTGAAGAAGAACCCCCAAACCTAGCTGCAGCTTCCAGTTCAACCGAGGCGTTGTTGACAGGGTTTTCATAGTCTGGAGTTCATGGTTATCCTAGGTCTGGGCAAGGTGCCAGGTAAGTATATGCTGTGTGTGTGTCGTATGTGTGGTGTGGTGTATGTATGTGTGTATGTGTGTGTGTGGTGTGTGATGTGTGTGTGTGGTGTATGGTGTGGTGTGTGGTGTGTATTGTGTGTCTGTGTGGTGTGGTGTGTGGTGTGTGTGTGGTTTGGTGTGTGGTGTGTATTGTGTGTATGTGTGTGGTGTGTATTGTGTGTGTGTGTGTGTGTGGTGTGTGTGTATGTGTGTATGTGTGTGTGGTGTATGGTTTGGTGTGTGGTGTGTATTGTGTGTATGTGTGTATGGTGTGTGGTGTGTGTGTGGTGTGTG